GGCGACCTGGACCCTCGCAGCGCCCCCCCCCGCCCTCCGTGGTTCTCAGTCAGCAAAGATCCTCCAGGCTGGAGATCGTTTAAAATCAACATGAGGAAAGTGATGTCAGATGTGAGCACATCTCTGCTCAGAGCTGGGTCTCCTCCTTCCAGAAAGGGCTTTACCAGGTCTCCCCTTTGGGATGCCAAGTCCCGGGACAGCCCGTGGGTGTCCTACAGCACAGCCCCAGTCTGGGACTGGGCAGAAAGTGCACCCAAGTCCCCATATGGGCTCTGCCGGGTGTTTCCGATACTGGGCTCTGAGCTGTCAGTGTGTGCAGGAGGGAGGTTTGGTGCCTGAACCGTAGCTGATAAAAGGGGGGAGAACACGCCAAACAGGGCAAGTGGAGTGAAAAGAAAACCCACGCAGCATCCCGGCTGGGTAATTCCCCTCAGGGCAATCCCGGGCTGTGCTCCATGGACAAGTCCCCCGCGGCCATCACCAGCAGGAGCGAGAGTCCCCTGGACGGCATCTGCCTCAGTGAATCCGAGAAGACGGCTGTGCTCACGCTCATCAGAGAGGAGGTAACGTCCAGGGATCCTGTCCTGCCCAGGGACCCTGTCCGGGCTGCGCGGGGGGAGCGGGGGCAGCTCTGCTCTGCCCAGGGTGGGTCTGGACCCCCGCATATTGGAGGCATGGGGCAGCGAGGGAAACAGCCGCCCGGAGCACGTCCCAAGGGTCCTGTGTCTGCTACAACCTAGATAATCACAAAGGAGATCGAAGCAAACGAGTGGAAGAAGAAATATGAAGAGAGCCACCAGGAAGTCATAGAGATGAGGTAAAAGCCTTCTCCTCGCACGTTCACCTGCCTGCTCCCCTGCACGGTGCAGCGCTGAGCGCTCCGTGTTCCCCCTTGGGAGGTGGGTTAGCGGGGCCGTAATGGGATGATACGGCTCAGCATCCTCAGGGTGGGACGTGTTAGGACACGGGTACTCTTTGTGCTTGTGCTGTGTTGAGCCTGCCGGTTTCTTTGTTGTAGGAATAAAATCCCATTAGCTGCGCTGGCCCGAGCAGCAGCGGCTGGAGGGAGGGGAGCGGTGGTGGGAGTTGCAGCATCAACAAGTTGGGGCTCTGCAGACAGGCTGCTGCTTGGGCTGCCTTTGTGGCCTGGGCAGGGGGCGGCCCTGGGGCAGTTTGCTGGCAGCAGAGCTGTAAGTGCATGTCTACAAAAAACCTGCTGCCTTCTACCCGCTTTTTTTTTTTCTCCTTTCCCTCTAGGAAAATCGTGGCTGAGTATGAGAAGACCATTGCCCAGATGATAGGTAAGGTGCTGTCGCCTGGCTGGGCATGCAGGGCAGGGAGCAGGCTGCTGCAGCCGTCCCCGCTCAGTCACCGCATCCCTGCTGTTTATTCTCCGTCACAGAGGATGAGCAGAGGACAAACATGACGTCTCAGAAGAACCTGCAGCAGCTCACGATGGAAAAGGACCAGGCTCTGGCAGACCTCAACTCGGTGGAGAGGTCCCTGTCAGATCTCTTCCGGAGATATGAAAACCTGAAGGGTGTCCTAGAAGGCTTTAAGAAGGTCCTTACCTTGGTTTCCTCTTTCTCCCTGCAGCCCCGGTCCCTGGTTCCCTTGCAGCATTGCCCCCGCTTTGTCCTGTGCTGCAGCACTGTGGCTCTCCCATCCCACGCAGTGCTGCTTCGAATGCCCCGGTCCTTACTCAGAGGACTGCTCGCTTGCTTTCCTCTGCCCGCTTTCTGATAAACGACCAAAGAGTCTTTCAAATGCCAGGGGAAGCCGTTGCGGGGAGCCGGGTTCCCCGGCTCTTCTCCACGCTCCTCCCGGCTCTCTCCTGCTGAGCTGCCGGCAGCGGAGCATCGTGCCCTGGGCAGAGCTGCGGCCAAGGGAAGAGCAGGTGCCAGGGCAGCGTGCCCCGAGAAAGTCTGTCTCCATCTACACGCTGTTTTTTCCATGCTGCCGAGCTAGATAAGGAGCTCCAGCATAAGGGAGAAGCTGAGTCTATTTAAAGCCTTTTTCTTTTACGCTCATCCCATCACAGCAACCTCTCTGCTCAGCCTCAATGCAGATGGATGTACTTTTTTTTTTTTTTTTTTTTTTCCCCCCCAGAATGAAGAAGCTCTGAAGAAGTGTGCTCAAGATTATTTAACCCGGGTCAAGCAAGAAGAGCAGCGGTATCAGGCCCTGAAAGTCCATGCAGAAGAAAAATTAGACAAGTAAGGTCATGCATGAGACTGCTGGGCATGCTGAGGAGCTTCCTGGGTGCTTGAAACCCTTGTAGGGCAGTGTCTCCATTTGGCTTTCCTGAGGTTGGAAGGCAGGAGCTTATTGATGTAAAAAGCTGCCTTTTACAACCTGAGGCTCGAGTGACTTTAAATGGCTGTAAGCAAGCCAGCACAAATCCCTGAATGGGTTCTCTGATCTCCGCTTAGTTTTTTGGGGGTTTTTTTGGTTTGGTTTTTTTTTTTAATGACGAGAAACTGAGGTTCACGGTCTATTTACAGTCAGTTAACAAACTCCCGCGTTTCAGAGGGCTCGTGTTTGTGCTGTGCAACGGGGTCATGCAGCTACGGAGGCTCTAGCTGATGAGCAGCAGCTCACCAACACGCGGTAGCCCTGAGGGAAGTGGGTGAGGAACTGGTTTAGCTTCGCTCTGAGAAAGCAGTTTCCAAACAGCAGTTTGGAGGAGCTGAATTAATCCAGTTTCGTGTAGGTTTTCCATAACGGAAAACCACCTCTGATGCATCCAGACAAGGAGGAGCTGGGCTCTGCTGAGACTGCACGGTCTAACGTTGTGCCACGGCGCTCCTGCCTACACCCAAAATGTGACCCCCGTCCCCCTTGTCTCCAAACCCCACCGCAGAGCCAACGAGGAGATCGCCCAGGTGCGCACAAAGGCCAAAGCGGAGAGCGCGGCATTGCACGCCGGGCTGCGCAAGGAGCAGATGAAGGTGGAGTCCCTGGAGAGAGCCCTCCAGCAGAAGGTAACGCGCCCGCCCTGCCTCCCCTCTGCGAGCTGCGCCGGCTCTGCTCTGGGTTTCCGCTTTGCTGCCTTGAGCATCCTCTTGGTGCTGGAGGTTTTCTTCGCATGTTTGGCCCAAAAAGTGTTCTGTGGGGGTGTTTTTTGTTTGTTTTTCTGGGTTTTTTTTGTTTGTGCGCGGGGGTTGTTGTTTAAGCGTACATCCTCTCGCAAGGCAGGAGGTGC